TGGATTCAGTTTAGCCACTGGAAAGTTGACTTCAAGATACGGTTTGCCCATCTCTCTCCTCCCTGTCATACTGCTAACCAGGTCAATCCTCCCCAGTCGGTAAACAAGGGGAAGGACCTTATAAACAATCTGACGTCAAAGCCCCTGCCTGAGTCTCAGCAGCACATTCCTCGCTACCCCAGTCCATTTAAGATTGCAGTTCTCATTCTCTACAACTTAAGGATTGTGGGTAGAGACATTCAGGATAACGGTCCAGTTAACTTTGCAAAATTTATATACTGCTCCTGAAGCACTCTGTATCAGACTTCAGTCTTTTCTTTCATTTAGGTTCAAATGTCATCATAACAAGTACACTTTCTTTGGAGTCTGTGATATGGGATTATATTCTTTTTAATTAAAACATTTCCCTCTTTTTGTCTAATTTTCTTCTTTCACTGGTTTCAGAGAGAGAAGTTTTGAAAACATACTTAATCTGCCCTTTCTCCACAAACTCCCACCCATCTGATTTATTATGCTGCATGGACTGTGAATGCTGACACGTTAATTCTGAAGTCCTTGCAACTCCTCAGAAACAGCGCTAACAACAGACAGTAAATCCTGGAACATACTTGTATGTTCCAACCACTTCTGAAAACAATAGCTATGCCAACGTGGGTAATCATTCAAATGCCCTGGGTACATTTCCCTATAAATAAGGGGGCTGAACTAGATAATCTATAAGGTCACTTTGGGTTCCAATATTCTATTCATATGATTTTAGGGCATTTTTCTAACATTGTATTACTATGATTTTATTATAACAATATTCTATAAGTAAGACAGTTTCATTATTTACGTTCCTTTTTAATATTCTGATAGCTTAACATCTCCCTCTAGTGGAAATTTTGTTTAAAAAAACATTTTAGAACACATAAGCTTGCTATGTCTTCACCATTGTTTTTTTTCCTCAAATATAAAATTCTTAAATATAAAAATCTGCTCAACATCATAAAATGGTAAAGCCATTGTAGAAGGCAATTTGGTATTATCAATCAGAATTTACATACACATCTCCTCAACTTCGCAGTTCCACAGAGATAGATTTCTACAGGGGTACTTACACAAGTAGGCCTAGAATACGTGAGGATTTACCATGAAATAACACAAACATAAAAACAATTCTCATCACCCCATTACATCAGAATTCTAAGTAACAACAACAAAATGAGACAGTCCTTTGTTCTCTTCTCCAAGAAAGTCTCTGAGTCCCATATGACTTATCCCTAAAATCTTGCTCATTTGAGGGGCTGGCCCCGTGGCTGAGTGGTTAAGTTCGTGCGCTCCGCTGCAGGCTGCCCAGTGTTTCGTTGGTTCGAATCCTGGGCGCGGACATGGCACTGCTCATCGAGCCACGCTGAGGCAGCGTCCCACATGCCACAACTAGAAGGACCCACAACGAAGAATATACAACCATGTACTGGAGGGGCTTTGGGGAGAAAAAGGAAAAAATAAAATCTTTAAAAAAAAAAAAAAAAATCTTGCTCATTTGGGAGTTTTTGTGATAGCTTTTAACATCTTGCTTACCAGTCTGGTTCTCAAAAAGAATCATAAAATTGGAAATGTGCAGAGAAAGCAAGCATTCTTAACATAGGGAGAGCATACTCTTTCTGTAGCAAATTAAGTAAAATCAAGCAATTTAAAAACACCTACATACTTTGGGGGTCGGCCCCATGGCTGAGTGGTCAAGTTCGTGCGCTCCACTTCGGCAGCCCAGGGTTTTGCCAGTTCAGATCCTGGGCGCAGACATGGCACCGCTCATCAGGCCATGCTGAGGCAGTGTGCCACACAGCACAACCAGAGGCACTCACAGCTAGAGTATACAACTATGTGTTGGGGGGCTTTGGGGAGAAGAAGGACAAAACACCCAGAAACACCTACATACTTTGAAATGTGAACAACAACTTACATCTCTTTATCTGGCAATTACTGTGTTCTATGTCTGTAAAAGACTATCTGTAAAAGAATATCAGCTGTTCCTCTCCTTAGATTTTTTTCCTGCATCCCCTAACGCATATGGGACAGAAACTGATGGTAGATCCCAGTATTTGTACTTCTTTCTTGCCCCAATTTTTCACTGGCCACACGGCCATGCACAACGAAGACTACATTTCCAGCCTTCCTTGCGCTAACTTATTGGCCAATGGAATGTAGGTGAAAATGATGGATATTACAAGTTCGAGAAAGTGTCCTTCACGGGAAAAGGTGAGCCCTTGTTTGCCCACCCCTTCCTGATGCCTGAAATGCTAAAGTGATAATTGCACCATGATTTGGAAGCCAGGTGGGTGATGGCAGAGCCTGATGATTATGAAGTCACAATACTAGCCTTTGAACACTTACCCTACAATCTGTTTAAGCAGCTGAGAAATAAATGTCTAGTACTTTGAACCACCCTTATTTTTAAGTTTTCTGTCATGTGCAGCTCAACTAATTCTAATTCACTCAGCATGTGAGCTAACAGTATAAATTTAGGCCATTACTAAATTGTCACAAAATTTTTGATCATGCTTTGGTGGTATGGGGGTGAGAATATTAGCTTAAAATACTGTTGACAGGAAGGTGAGGTCTGGGCTGATGTCATCACTGCCTTGTAGGAGGCAGGGAGCATGGCCACTGCTGCAAGGGTAGCAGGGCCTGTGTGGCAGGGCCCACATGGCTCTGGTCCTGTCTGTGCAGCCTCAGGGCGGACAGCAACGACCAGGAGGCCAAGCCACGGTGGGAGCTACAGGGGCCCAGTGCCAGTTCACGCTAGGAATGCCTCTGGTCAGGCAGTAGTCATTCTTCAGAAGCACATCGAGTTACAACAAATTTCCCCAAACTGTGATCTGACTCGTGATAAGATGAAACTACCATTTGACGTTTTCCTTCAGATACTTAAGGTGACCCAAGTATGCATTTTAAACAAAATGAAGTTACAATACTGCAGTCTATTTCATCTCTCAAGCCACAGCCCCATTAACGAGAACTCTGATAATCTCTGGGCACAACCATCCTACAGTGTACAGCTCCACTGAGCAGCTCATTGACCCCAACTTCAGAGGACAGTCTTTCTCTTTTCAGACAGACTTGTGCATAAGCCTCCAAAGGACAAGCCTAATTTTGCCCACAGTCTAGCTTCTCTCCAGATAACCATGGAGAGACTGTGAAAAAGACATATACCTACAGCAGAAAAAGCCTTCAGGACCCCAAGGCTCCCAGGATACTCCTGAGAAGTTTCCTGGGCAATGTGTCCAGTGACAGTGCAAATGTTCTCAGACATGGGACTGGACCTGAGGCCTATGACTCCTCCAACCTTACCATGGACTGTAGTCCTGGCCCATTAATAGAAGTCAGGATGCAGGTGAATATTTGGTGTATCACCACTCTGAGTTAAGGATCACATTAGCCACAAAGAAAGAAAATGCATTTGGTCCGATTATGCAACATTCTGCAATGGGAAAACATCCAGGAGCTCCTGGGCTGCACAAAAGAGAAGCGTGGGATCCTGACACAGACTGTTAATCCAAAATGACACCAATCCATTTGGGCCCATGTTCTGTTTTAGTCTTCAGCAGATGATCTTTGAGGTCATACAGGACTATGATATTGCCTTAGTGATCATGCATGGCCCCAAGGCCTGGTGCCAACCTGGGAACAGTGTACCTCCCCTAGGGCCACTCATCACCCATGCCCCTGTGTCAGATCCTGCTCAATCAGCATTGGCAACGCCACACTGTGGATGTTCTTGGTCATCCTGACAGGACCAAGCTGGGAGCTATCATCAGATGAGGCGCCCAGACCTCCCTCAGCCCATTCCCAGCCTGCCAGTGTCAGTGGTCAACTAGAGACATGGCTTGCAAAAAGTTTATAAAAAGCAAAAGCTCTAGCCCAGCTATCCGGACCCAGGCACTCTTGACTAGTTGGGGCAGCTGTCTGACACCTAAGGAGGCAGGGTCCTGATTACCTAACATTAACTCCTGTTCCATACAAGAAGGGACAACTTGGGGCTGTTTTTGTGGCTGAGGACAAGGATGAGGAATCCTGGCACATGACTGAACACAACCAAGCAGCTTGTCAGCAAGACTTAGCACTGCAACTATCTGATGACCTGAGGTTGAGGCAGCCTGCCTGCCCTTCCCTGTTCTTCTCTACATACACTCCCTGTAGGCCCAGCTCACAAAATCAACTGATTGAGATTGCTTTCTGCTATCAAAGTATGTGCCTAGTCCCGGTCAGTTCTCAAAATTATGCCTGGATCCCACTCTTCCTGAAACCAGCCTTTGAAGGTGTCTAAGCCTTGTACTGCCCCATCCTGGCCAAAGACTGCATGTTATCATTCTGTCTGCTTCCTGATTTTATGTGAAAATCTTAGTCAAAAGTATCTTCCTCCTGTGCTGTGTCTCAGTAGTCCAGTATAACTTGCTGGCGTATCCATGAACCACCTTGGCATCTAATCCTCCAACCGTGAGCAGTTTTCAGATGGCTGTAGTCCCAGATGACCACAATCTCATGAGAGGCCCTAAGCAAGAACACTCAACTAAGCTGCTCCCAAATTCCTGACCAATGGAAAATGGGTGAGATAATAAATGTTTTTGTTGTTTTAAGCTATTAAATTTTGAGGAAATTTGTTAAGCAGCAAGAGATAACTAATAGAAAATAGACGGCTGGCATATCAACTGACTCAAAGGGCATCCAGGACTGTTCCCATGACCTGTGGCTTACACTGGGAGCCCAGGAGCATCTTGCTCCCTGCCCTCCAACAAAGCACCTATGTCCTCAGCAACAACCCTACCATACACAATTGCTGGGTATTTACACTTAAAAACATTTTTTGAAATGGTATCACTTTGCACAAATGTGCTACAAGGGGCCCCAGCTCATGAACTCCTCCTCAGCTCGGCCACTGCTGGAGGCCAGGGATGGGGGGGAATTTTTTATTCCATAGCAGCAGAATCTCTGTTATCACAACACACTCCTTAACTTACCTGGATTTCCAGAATCTGAAATTCAAGTTGAAATGTAATCATGTGGCAATTTCCTGATAATCTGTGTCTCTGTAGAACTTTCTTTATACCTGTAAATCAAAAAACCAAATATTTTGCTTGAAAAGTAACAATTTCCTTCAAATATCTATTGTTCAATTTTGTGTGAATATCTATAATACATGTGAGTATATGTGTGAAAGCGTATGTTAGTATTTGCAATGAAAATATCTGGAAGAACGTGCATCAAATTGATTAGCTTTGCAAAATAGCACTGAAGACAACTTATACTTTCTACTTCTCGATTATACCAAAGATTAAGGTATGAAATAGAAATATGCTAGTATAACCCTAGACAAATTTGAATCATGATAACTGTTATTTTTCATTTTTGCAACTTTATCTGCTTCTAGTTGAAGACAGTAAATTGGATCCATGTATTTACCTCTGTTATCTCTCAAAACTTTACTAAAACGATATCAGAAGGTTTCTTTTAGGTATAACATGAATGCACTTAAATGCATAAAATGCCGTATTCTTAAGTATACAGTGTGATTTTTTTTTAACATATGTATTTCCCATGTAACCACCACAGAGATCAAGATATAGAAATTTTAAAGTACCCCATAAAGTTTCCTCATGCCTTTTCCCAGGTTATACACTACCACCCAAGAGATAACCATTATTCTGACTTTATCACCATCTAGGTTTGCTAATGAAGGTATTTTTAGAAGGGCACAATTCTACAAGGATAAAGAGAAGAAGATGAGAGTAACCTAATTTTGGAAGCTGGAAATCAGATGGATGAGCCAGATATCACGTAGAAAAGTGAGACTGACCTGGCAGACCCAAGAATGCGGAAAGTTCGGAATCAAGCCATTCACACAACATGAGAAGGGCTTTCTAAAATTGGTAGCACCAAGAACTTCAGCAGATGGGGTGAACCTGGGACTCAAACTAGGAAGACTGAGACTCCTTCACACTAGTAAAAGTCTTGTACCTGATCTAATCTCACTCTCCATCCTCTCTGTATTCCATCTCCTCCTCTCAAGCACCTGGAGTGTCTAAATTCCATCAGTCATTTCTATATGTAATTCAAACTTCTAGTGAGGTAAATTGCCCGAGACCCGCTGAGGGTCACTCTCTCTCCTGTCATGAGGGCTATTTCAGTGGAAAAGTCAGGAAGCATTTCCAAAAGCGATTCCTTCCTTAGGGAATGTTATTCTTGTCCCAAGTTCTCAACATCCAACTGTACAGCTGAATTGGCCTTCCCTTCCCTGTTAGTGCATCACAGATCTGTGCAATAAAACCTAGGCACTGGGACCAGAAACTCTCCTTTGGCAAATGGTCCAGCTGCTGAAACATTTATCTTGGCCATAGGCCATGTTCATTAGGAGTAGAACACTGTACATGAGGCAACTCTCAGGTCAGTAGCAACAACTCCTAAGAGTTGTTGTTCTTACAATCACTTATCTCTGTTACCTGAGTATTAAGTTACTTAATGACAGAGACTGTGCCTTCTTTAACCTCTACCTCAGGCAGCGCTTTTTTTGGTGAGTAAGATTATCGCTGAGCTAACATCTGTGCCAGTCTTCCTCTATTTCATATGTGGGATGCTGCCACAGCACAGCTTGATGACTGGTGTGTAGGTCTGTGCCCAGGATCCGAACCCACAAACCCTGGGTCACTGAAGTGGACCATGCAAACTTAACCACTACGCCACAGGGCCAGCCCCTCAGGCGGCTTTTAAAAGAGTCTTATGGATGCTGTCATGTTCAAAAGACACCTGGCAAAACAAGCCTACCACAATCACACATTCAAATAGTTACCTTGTAGAATTTTAATTCAATGATATGACAACCAATTTCCTGTGCATACAAGGTTAGCTTCAACACCACTTCTAGATTAACACTTACTCTTTTCTGTCATCTCAGTGCTTGTCAGGTCCTTTGTCTTCTTGGAGTAATTTCTTATCTTGATGCCAGTAAGTGTACTTAGAAATAAAATTTCTGATTCCAAATGTCCAAGATGACTTCTCAGATCTTTTGAAGATTCCCATCCTTCAGAATCTGATTGGTATATTTCTTGAAAGGATTTTCTAAAAAGCAAATATCAGAAATAATTACGCCAATGAGGAAACCACTAACAAGGATTTCACTGAATTTCTTTAAACAATTCCCATTTTGTCCTTCTTACTCTCTTCCCATTAAAACTACCTAAGATTTTTTTCTCAAAACCAATGTAGCTACTAACACAGCAATCTTTATTCTCAACACAAAATAAACCTAATCAAATTATACTACCAGATTTGTACATATTAGAAACAACTGTAAAATAAATTATAAAATGAGTACTTTGCAAAATTAGAATGTCTCATATCCCAAGACATCTCAAATTATTTTAAAAGATGTCACAAAATTGAAAACAAAATAAATTAGCCAGGTTTAAATTCTAAAACAAAGTATCCCAGAGCATTTTATACTAAGAAAGAAATTCTGAGGAAATCTAAGAATGGGAGTGGGGTGGGGAGGGGAGAATTTCAAAGGAATAACAGCATTATCTCTTTAAGCAACACTGTGACCAGACATTCTTCAATGAGAACATATAACTCTATTTTCCTTGAAAAGGAGTAAAATTTCAGCTAATAATCACACTGAATGGCATTTTACTTTATGTCATCCTTTATTGCCCTTGTACGATCTGCTGTATTCTACACTGTTGACTTGTGCCATCTTTAAACATGCCTTCCTTTGATGTCGGGGCGCAATTATCTTGATTTTCACTTTACATCTTGGGTCCTCTACTGTCCCTGCTTCTTACCTCCAACCTTGGAATAAAACCCTAACACTCTTTCCTCTGCTGTCCTAAATATGCATTCTCTCATTCCAGAGGAATACTCGATGATTAATCTCAGCATTTCTGTGACAGTACCTCCTAAAGCACACCTCTAACCATTTATCTCTTCTTCCTTCAAGGTAGACTTAGCTTGATAACTCACCAAATGTTTTCCTCAAGGTAACTTTTCCTCCAAATTGTCGTACTTTCGTTAATGATAAAAGCTATCCCTTGATATCTCAAGCTCCATATCTCTGGAGCCATCCTTCGCTCTGTTACTCCCTTCGCATCTGGACCTACTGCCATCCTTTCTGCTCCTTCACATAGGTATCCTTCCTTTTCTATTCTTAATTCCACTGCATTAGCCTATCCTCTTTTGACCTCATACCATGTCTATAGGAAATAACCCAACTCTGAATTTTTTTTTTTTTTTTTTAAAGATTGGCACCTGGGCTAACAATTGTTGCCAATCTTTTTTTTTTCCTGCTTTATCTCCCCAACTCCCCCCACACCCCATACATAGTTGTATATCTTAGTTGCAGGTCCTTCTAGTTGTGGCTCATGGGACGCCACCTCAACGTGACCTGATGAGCAGTGCCATGTCTGCGCCCAGGATCCGAACCCTGGGCCACTGCAGCAGAGCGCGCAAACTTAACCACTCAGCCATGGAGCCAGCCCCCAACTCTGTATTCTTCACACTGGGGATCTAAAACTTGTATAAGTCTGTAAAAAACGTTTACAATTTTTTTTAATGCTAATTTAAAATATTAACGTAGGGTCTGGCCTGGTGGCATAGTGGTAACGTTCGTGTACTCTACTTCAGCAGCCCGGGGTTTGCAGGTTTGAATCCTGGGCATAGACCTACATACCACTCATCAAGCCATGCTGTGGTGGCATCCCACGTACAAATAGAGGAGGACTGGCACAGATGTTAGCTCAGCAACAATCTTCCTCAAGCAAAAAGAGGAGGATTGGCGACAGATGTTAGCTCAGGGCAAATCTTCCTCACCAAAAAAAAAAAATAATAATAATGTAAATATATTCTATATCATCTGAGAGACTACCACATGTTCTTTTATACTTGTCATCATGGATTGATGAAAGAAATTATTTTATACATAGAAAGCTAATGAAAAAGAGAGGCAATCTTCATACATAAATGATGAGTTCCTGCCAAGTGAATATCAAATAATGTCACATCAAACTATGAATGAAAATTTCAAGGTATTGCCAATAAGCAAAGTGATAAGATAATCAGTCATCACATTAAAGGACAGACATGCAGAACTCAAAAAGAACCTGTGGCTGAAAAAGCAGAGGATGGGGAGTTATTGTTTAATGGGTACAGAGCTTCACTTTGGGGCAATGAAAAAGTTCAAGAGACGGATATTGGTGATGGTTGCATGACAAGGTGAAAGTGCTTAATGCTACTGAACTGTACACTTAAAAAGTGTACAGTGTACCAAAAAAGGGTAAGTTTTATGTTATGTATATTTTCCACACACGAAAAAAGACAACTTGAATATTCTCGTTCACAGCAATGATTTACTTTGAGCAAAATATTATTAACCCACTTCAATTAATGATGTTAGTTTGAAAGATTTTGAGTTATGAATTTTATTGGTTTTGTAGTTTTGTTATTTGTAAATCTGTCTTAGTAGTAAATGTCTTTGATCAAAATAGAAGTTCACAAGAAACCTTTTTCTTTTAAAACAAATCTATACAAGATTTGAGTCTAAAAGTCAATGATCTAGGTTTCTGGGAACACAGAGTAGGGAGCACCAGAAATCCGTCTCCCCACCTAGACAACAATTACACTGGCAGAAGCTGTCTAATATAACTTTTTTCTAGAGTCTGTTGAAGGTTTGCAACTTCCAGTAGAAGGCATGGAAGTAAACTGAGGTCAAGTTCGGGCAATTTCAGCTCTTACCACAGTAGCAGCTACTCATCCCCCATTCTAACAACATGGCAAGCTGCTGTGCACACATTCCTGGAGCAGCCTGCACACAGCTTAGGGGAGCCAGGGTGGGCAAAAACGACTCTCTCTCCCAAATAGTGGGAATTTGTGCTCCAACTGCAGATTGCTGCTTCTGATCACAGAGGTGCAGACTAAGGCAGGCAGACATTGTTGCTGCACCTCCTCTCATTGTTGCAGACCCCTTCTGGTCTGGCTCAATTGACTTCCAGGAGACTTAAAGAGCCGTTGCTCTTTCTCCCCCATCATTTTGGCTCTTCTCCTTGAGGAGCCAGACACTAAAGACTAGGACATTCAAAATGAAATGAATATATAGGGAAAATTAGAAAGTGACTGTGCATGCCCAAGAAAAGATTCAGAAAAGACCTGAGGAGACATTAAGTTTGCACCTCAGGCTCATGCTCAGCAGAGACAGCCTGCAACAATCAAAAATACAAAAACACAGCAAACCTAGGGGGAGGGGGGAGTATCTGATCCCAGAGTTACACATTATTAGATTCAAATCCAGTGTTCAACAAAAAGTCACAAGGCATACAAAGAAACAGGAAGGTATGTCCCATTCAGAGGAAAAAGTGATTCAACAGAATCTGTTACCTGCAAAAGACTTAATGACAGATATATTAGAAATAGACAAAAACAATGGTCTTAAAGGTCCTCAAAGAAATAAAAGAAGATGCGGAGAAAGTCAACAAAACAAGCTGTAAACAAAATAGAAACATTAATAAAGAGATAGAAAACCTAAAAAGAAACTGAAAGTGCTGGAGCTGAAAAGTACAATAACTGAAATGAAGAATTCACTGGAGGGATTCAAAGGCAGATTTGAACAGGCAGAAGAAAGAATCAGTGAACTTCAAGATAAGACAATGAAAATTATTGAAGCTAAGGAACGGAAAGAAAAAAGACTGAAGAAAAGCAAACAGAGCCTAAAGGATACGCAGGACACCATCAAAATGACCAAGAGACGCATGAAGGGAGACCAAAATGAGGAGAGAGAAAGGGGCAGAGAGAATATTTGAAGAAATAATGGCTGAAAACGACCCAAATTTGTTGAAAGACATGAGTATAAACATCCAAGAAACTCCAAGTAAGATGAACTTAAAAAGACTCACACTAAGACATTATCCAATTTTCAAAAGCCAAGAATAAAGAGAGATCTTGAAAGCAGGAATAGAGGAGCAAATCATCACATAAAAGGGATTCTCAACAAGAAATGAACAGATTTATCATCAGAACTTACAGAGGCCAGAAGACAGTAGGTTGATATAGTCAAAGTGCTAAAAGAAAAAACCATCAATCAATAATCCTATACCTGGCAAAACTGTCCTTGAAAAGAAAGCAAGAAATTAAGACATTTCCAAATAAACAAAAGCTGAGGGTTTGTTACCACTAGACATACCCTGCAAGAAATGCTCAAAGGAGTCCAGTAAGGTGAAGTAAAAGGACACTAGACAGAGACTTGAAGCCATATGTCAAAATAAAGATCTCAATACAGGTAATACATGCACAACTGTAAATCTAGTATCATTGTCACAATGGTTTGTAACTGCTTTTTGCTTTCTACATGATCTAAAAGATTAACATGTAAAGAAATTATTTGTTTAAAGCTACTATACTGTAACTTTTGTTTTTAACTCTAAATCTTGTTTTCTATAAAATTTAAGAGAACAATGCATTTAAAAGAATTATTTGTTTGGTGGTACACAATGTATAAAGATCTAATTTTGTGACATCAAAAAGTGAAAAGGGTGGAGATGGAGCTATAAATAAGCCAAGGTTTTGCACATTATTGAAATTAGGCTGCTACAAATTCAAATTAGAGTGTTGTAACTTTAGGATATTAAACATAATCTCTCTAGTAGCCACAAAGAAAACAGCTATAAAATATAGATAAAAGGAAATGAGAAAGTAATTTAAACATTTCATTCCAAAAAAATCAACCACCAAAAGAAGACAGAAGTGGAGGAAATGAGGGACAAAAACACTTAAGGGTATATAAAAAACAAATAGCAAAATGACAGAAGTAAGTTTCTCCTTATCAGAACTTGTGTAAATGTCAATGGCTAAACTCTCCAAACAAAAGACAAATATTGGTAGAATGGATAAAAACACATGATCCAGCCATATGCTGTCTACAAGAGAATCACTTTCGATTCAAAGACACAGATTGAATGTGAAAGAATGGAAAAAAATATCCACGCAAAAAGTAACCAAAAGAGAGCAGGAGTGGGTATACTAATAGCAGACACAACAGACTTTAAATCAAAAAAGGTTACGAGAGAAAGAAGGAC